ACATGAACCAGGAGGGCATGATACAATGTGAAACAAGCCAGGTTCAGAAAGACAAATACTGGGCCAGGCTTGGTGGCTCATGCCTATAATCCCAGCACTTTGGGAGGCCGAGGTGGGTGGATCACCTGAGGTCAGTAGTTCAAGACCATGCTGGCCAACATGGTGAAACCCCATCTCTACTAAAAATACAAAAATTAGCCAGGTCTGGTGGCATGTGCCTGTAATCCCAGCTACTCGGGAGGCTGAAGCAGGAGAATTGCTTGAACCCGGGAGGCGGAGGTTGCAGTGAGCCAAGATTGTTCACTCCAGCCTAGCTACAGAACAAGACTCTGTCACAAAAAAAAAAAAAAAAAAAAAAATTGCCACGTGTGGTGGTACACACTTGGATATTCGTAGTTCTGGGCGCTCAGGAGACTGAGACATGAAGATTGCTTGAGCCCAGGAATTTGAAGTGGCAGTGAGCTGTGATTGTGCCACCGTACTCCAGCCTGGGCAGTGAGACCCTGTCTCAAACAAAAACAAAAACACACATAAAACATATCTTGGTCCTTTTTTGTCTAAACCACACAGCCCCACCCCACCCTGCAAAAAAAAAAGCAAACAAACTTCCTATTTTGCTTAGAATGCAATCTAAACACTGCCTAGTGAGACACTGTCCGCCTCTCTGACCTCCTCCCTCCTTGGCCTCCCTCATGTGTGGCCACGGGCACTGCTTTCTGTTTCTTAATCTTGTCAAGCTGTTTCTAACCATCTGGATCAGTACCCACAGTTCCCTTTGTAGAGAAATAATTCACAACGTAGCTCACAGGCCATTTTCCTGACTACGCCCCCTGTCACTCTAACATCATTATTTTATTTTCATCTTGACACCTTTCGCTATCTAAAATTACTGTGCTCATGGGTTTAATGTCATTCTTTTTCTCCCTCTTCTAAAAAGTAAAGACTTTGAGAGACGGGATCCTCTCTGTCTTGTTCACCATTGACTTTGAGGTTCCAGAGCAAGGCCTGAGCCACAAGCTAAGTGTTTGGGAAATACTGCTTGCGTGAGCAGATGAAGTCACCTGCAATTGGGAAATGTCTGACATATGACAGCAATTCAGGAAGGAAGAGATTAATTACAGCTTTTTACAAAAAAAGGCCAGCAATAAAGTACTGTGTTATATTCTGGTACTCTGCTAGAGTGGGGACACCTGAGACAGAGAACTAATCTGCCTGCTCTCTGCTGCTTTGATAAGACCTGTAGCGAGACTGTGTAATTTTTTTTTTTTTTTTCTGAGACTGAGTCTCACTCTGTTGCCAGTCTGGAGTGCAGTGGCACAATCTCAGCCCACTGCAACCTCCACCTCCCGGGTTCAAGCAATTCCCTTGCTTCAGCCTCCTGAATAGCTGGGACTACAGGCGCGTGCCACCACATCGGCTAAGTTTTGTATTTTTAGTAGAGATGGGGTTTCACCATGTTGGCCAGGGTGGTCTCGATCTCCTGACCTCGTGATCTGCCTGCTTCAGCCTCCTAAAGTGCTGGGATTATAGGTGTGAGACACTGCACTCGGCCTTTTTTTTTTTTTTTTTTGAGAAGGCGTCTCACTGTGTTGCCCAGGCTGGAGTGCAGTGGTGTCACCTTGGCTCACTGCAACTTCTGCCTCCTGGGTTTGAGTGATTCTACTGCCCCAGCCTCCCGAGAAGCTGGAACTACAGATGTGAGCCAATGCACCCGGCCTAGAGATTGTGTAATTTTGATTTCAACATTTAAAAAGAGATATGGGCTGGGCGCAGTGGCCAAATTGGGCAGATCGCCTGAGGTCAGGAGTTCGAGACCAGCTTGGCCAACATGGTGAAACCCTCTCTACTAAAAATACAAAAATTAGCTGGGCATAGTGGCAGGTACCTGTAATCCCAGCTACTTGGGACGCTGATGCAGTAGAATCGCTTGAACCAGAGAGGCGGAGGTTGCAGTAAGCCAAGATCATGCCATTGCACCACAGCCTAGGCAACAGAGAGAGACTCCATCTCAAAAACAAAAAACAAATAAACAATAAATAAATAGGCCGGGCATGGTGGCTCACACCTGAGTAATCCCAGCACTTTGGGAGGCCAAGACAGGAGGGTCACCTTAGGTCAGAAGTTTGAGACCAGCCTGAACAACATGGTGAAACCTCATCTCTACTAAAAATACAACCATTAGCTGGGCATGGTGGCAGACACCTGTAATCCCAGCTACTTGGGAGGCTGAGGCAGGAGAATCGCTTGAACCTGAGAGGCGGGGGTTGCAGTGGGCCGAGATTATGCAACTGCCCTCCAGCCTAGGTGACAGAATGAGACTCCGTCTCAAAAATAAATAAAATAAAATAAAATATAAAATAAAATAAAATAAAATAAAATAGAAAAGAGATATGTCAGAACTGGAAAGGTATCAGAAAAGAACAATTTATATGAATACAGGGTAGGAAAAATAGACTGTGAGGAACGGCTAAATAATTTGGGATCTCAGCCTAGAAAATGGAAGGCCTCAGGTGGCTTCATAAGCGTTTGAAAGGGAATTGTTAGTTCGAGCCACCAGGTGTGGAGGGGGTCAATTAGGACAACAAGAAGCAAGCTGAAAGTAACAAAAAAGCTTCTATTCATTCACTAGCACCTGCGAGCAAGAGGAAAAGACAGGCCCCAGCTCCCAGCATGCCATTTTAGAGAACAGCATGGGACGAAGTTCAGACAGGAACGGTCTCAGCGTCAAGGAGTTTCAGAATACAAAGGATAAACTCTCCTGCCTCTTTATCGACCTGACCTGAAGTGAGCCTCAGGGAGGCGGGGGAGAAGGGCTGGAATGAGACGTACTGAGTTGAAGCAGAGAAAGGATCTGTCATTGCTCCCAGGAAGGAGGTCTTGGTAGAGGCTGTTGGGAAGTGCCTCAGCTGGGGTCCCTGAATGGAGGTGCCCTGCTAGGAATGCAGGTGCGCTTAGGAGCATGGCAGTCTGGGGGCCTGGAGTCTTTGATTGCAACTCTTGCCAGGAACCTGCAACGCACAGGCAATTCACCAAGCTGGGGTGGGAGGGCAGCTTCCCTCCATGAGGCCTGCCAGGCAAAAGTCTTTGATTGCCAGTGGTGGAGCCTAAAAGGCCACCCTTAGGATTTTGGCCTAGAGCCAGTATTTTTATTTTATTTTATTTTATTTATTTTTCAAGAGGGATTCTCGCTCCGTTGCCCAGGCTGGAGTGCAGTAACGTGATCTTGGCTCACTGCCATCTCCACCTCCCGGTTCAAGCCACTCTCCTGCCTTAGCCTCCCGAGTAGCTGGGACTACAGGCACTCACTACCACACCTGTCTAGTTTTTGTACTTTTAGTAGAGACAGGGTTTCACTATGTTGGCCAGGCTGGTCTCGAACTCCTGACCTCAGGTGGTCTGCCCATTTTGGCCTCCCAAAGTGCTGGGATTACAGCATTTTTATTATTATTTTTTATTTTTGAGACAGAGTCTCACTTTGTCACCCAGGCTGGAGTGCGGCGGCTCGATCTCCACCAATTGCAACCTCTGCCTTGCGGTTCAAGTGATTCTCCTGCCTCAGTCTCCCAAGTAGCTGGGATTATAGGTGCGTGCCACCACACCTGGTTAATTTTTGTATTTTTAGTAGAGACAGGGTTTCATCATGTTGGCCAGGCTGCTCTTGAACTCCTGACCTAAAGTGATCTGCCCACCTTGGCCTCCCAAAGTGCTGGGATTACAGGCATGAGCAACTGTGCTCAGCCTGCAGCCAGTATTTTTACCTGCTAAAGTCTATCTGCATCCAAAGCCCATATCCTTTCCAGGTAAAACCATTTTCTTTTTTTTTTTTTGAGTCTGGTTTTTACTCTTGCTGCCCCAGCTAGAGTGCAGTGGCGTGATATTGGCTCACTGCAACTTCAATCTCCCGGGTTCAAGTGATTCTCCTGCCTCAGCTTTCCGAGTAGCTGAGATTACAGGTGTGCACCACCACGCCCAGCTAGTTTTTGTATTTTTAGTAGAGACGGGTTTTCCCTATATTGGCCAGGCTGGTCTCGAACTCCTGTCCTTAGGTAAATCCACCTGCCTTGGGATTACAGGCGTGAGCCACCGCACCCAGCCAGTAAAACCATTTTCTTTCCATTCTACTCCCAGGATCTGGCTCAGACTTCTTTTCTCACCTGGATCAGAGTCTCTCTACCTCTAGGTTTCACATCTTTGACACACCCTACGTAGACTGTTATTCTAGAACCCCAAGAATGACTTGTTCCTGCCTACCTAAAACCCTCCGATGGCGTCCTACCCCTATACTTGGTTGGCTAAAAGGCCTTCCTACTCTCCAGGCCTCTCCTTGTACTCTGCCCCTACCTTGGCAAGTATGCCATGCTCTGGCAGCACTGCCTGCCCCCGCCCCCAGCACACTGTGCTCCTTCACTCCAATCAGACTCTGAGCACGCTGTCCCTCGGCCTGGGACGCCCTTCAAACTGCAGCTTGAAGCTCTCAAAGCCCTGGAGTCTCCCTAGCTCTATGGGGCCAGGCACTTCGCACAAGCCTTTATCACAGCCCTTAATCACACCCCACTGTCATTGGCTACAAGGTCCTGCCCAGAAGAGACATCATCTTTGCAACCTTGCTCACATAGGAGACCTTGCTGAAGCGATGTTGTGAAATGAGCAAAGGAAAAAAAAATGAATGAATGACTATCCCATTCCAATTCTAGCTCCTTTCTGTTTCCCTGGCATGTCTGTAGCCTGCCCTACCCCAAACACACATTCTGAGAACAAAACTGTCAGAGCTGCAGCTTATCTGGTGTAGTAGCTGGGATCTGTCTGTCCTGGTGCTTCCTTCTCACGGGATATCGCATGAGCAGCGCCCACGCCCTGCGAGTCCTTGCTGCTGAATATCCGGAAGAGGATCCCTACTGGTCATGGACAGACAGCTGCACCACAGCAACCATCAGCAATTAATTTTCCAGATCTGAATGGAAAGTTTTTACCTTTCTCCCATGAAAATAACACCTGGCCTCTTTTCTGATGAAAAACTTTATTTCCAGAAGCAGAACTGTTTTTAACACAGAGTTCAAGGAAGCAGCCTGTCCAAAAAGCCCAAATTCCACCTTTCTAAGCCCCAGCCTCCAGACTAGCTCCCTCTCTAAGGCTCTAGAACTTTGAAGCAGGGTTTAGAAACTAAGTAGCCTGGATTCCTACCCCAGAAGTACCATCTTCAGAGCTCTCTTCTTGGGGTTCTCTTCTTCCAAGCTCAGACTTGGCGTCCCAACTTCTACACCTTTATGACAGTTGCATTTCCACAGGAAAGAGACAGCCGGATCTGCCTTTTGAAGAGGCCGTTTCCATGGGAAACAGGAGTGGGGGGGGGGCTCTGGCGAGCATCGAAGGCGCCTTCACAGGCAGCAAAGCCGCTCCACCTCCTCCTCACAGTTGTAGAATTTTTCGAATAGCTCAGGAGAAGTGCTGTTGCACTCAAACCACCTCCTCAACGTGCCCAGGGCCTGGAGGGCATCAGCTCTGGTGGGCAGGGGCTCGAAGGTGCCCTCTCCGTCCCCCTCCTCATCTTCAGTGCCTGTCTCCTCTTTGCACACCCCGGGCCCTGGCTCCTCACCTTCCAGGTCCACAAAGTGGGAAAACTCCTCTAGACTCAGCCCGCTGGGTACTGGTGGCATCTCAGAGGCTTTGTCCGAGGACGGGGGTGTTTTGCCAGGAGCCAGCCCTTCCTGAATGAAGCTGCTGAAAATGAGCTGAGGAGGCACCTTGGCCCAGGCGGCTGCTGCCACATGCAGGGCATCCAGCATTGTGATGCCCGCCCTGGCCTCAGCCAGCGAGGTGCCATCCCTTTCGCTCTGGATGGCAGCCAGTTTGCCCAACAGCCGGTGCCGGTAATGGGCCTTAAAGGCCCGGACCACCGAGCTAGGGAGGGGAGGCGTGGTGCCAGAGGTGGCCAGAGGTAAGAGCCTCACGTGGTAGAGCCCAGGAAGGCCTGCCAGTTCCTCTACCACTCGGGCAGCCAGCAGCAAGGCCACCTGTCGGCCCTGCTCTCCCATGTCCCGGTCAAACTGTGCCAACCACTCTGACCAGGGGATGCCCAGGTCAGGGTGGTAGGAGGCAGGCAGAGTCTCACTGCGGACCCCAAAGAAGCATCTCGGGGCAGCCTGGAGCCCACCCAGCAGTACCCGCCGCTTCTCGGTGCCCCTGCTGTTGGCACACAGCAGCACCTGTACTTGATCACATGCACCCAAGCTGCCGGGCACTGCCCGATACAGCAAGGGCAATTCAGCACAGCCAAAGACGTCCTCTGGAGAGAAGTCTTTCAGGGAAAGAGGCAGCTGGGCCTGGGATGTGAGCCCCGGGGGAGGTGGCTCAGAGGGGAATGAAGGCGCAAGAACATGGCGGGCCCCAAAGCCGACGTTGTTTCGGCGTTTCCATCGAACCAGCCAGCCGATGCTGGGCACGAAATCCTGGCCCATGATATCGGCTAGCTCCTTGGCTTTGTGAAGCAGCATGGGCCCCGTCACGTCCCGGGCCTTGGCCCGGGCGATGTGGTACCAGCAGAGCAGAGCCTCGTCGATCCCGCTGTACTTGGACTCCCGCTTGCGCTTGCGCTCCCGGTTGGCTGTGCCGCTGCACCAGTCCGCCAGCAGCTTCTCCTTATTTTTGCAGATGCGCGAGATCTGGGGCTGGGAGACCTGGAAGCGCCGGGCCACCTCCGACTGGGACATCTTGGACTCATCCAGGAGCTCCAGCACCCGGATCTTCTCGGCCAGTGACAGGGCGTGAAGCTTCTTCTTGCTGCTCAGCTCCATGGCTTCTCCGGGCATCTGTGCTGGGAGGAAAGAATGAGCGGGTAGAGCAAGCCGAGGCCGGGAGGGCTGGGAGAGGAGCACAGGAGGGGAGATTAGACAAGGACGTGCGCAGGCACCAGGGGAGACTGGATCCACCGAAAGAGGCAGGGAAGTGGCTAGGCCGAGTGGGGGCCCGGCTGGCCCGGTTCCCAGGATGCCAGGGTAGAGTCGGGGAGGGGGCGTCTCTCCCCTCAGAGAGACAGGGGAATCTGGGCTGGGGTCTGGCTTCACTGGGGGAGAAGAATGAAGAGTGGAGGGGACAGCTGCAAAGATAACAAAGGTGCGCGGACATGGAGGGCCTGGGGCTGTGGCCTAGGGGGCAGGTGTGAGGCTACGGGGCAGCGGGGGAGTAGCCCCCGGGAGGGAGTGGGAGGCAGCCTGGGCCGGATTCCGATGACGCCACTGGGGGCGGGGAGGTGGGTGGCTGCAGAGTTGAGGTGACAGGTGTACAGACGACAAAGGGGACAGAGGGGGTCTGAAGGAGCGAGGCTAATTTGGTGCCGGGTCCTGAGGGGGAGGCCGGGCGATGGTTCGGCCTGAGGAGGTGGAGGGCAGGGCCGCGGGCGCAGGTGCACCGGCGACAAAGGGCGGGAGGCGTGAGGAGGCTGCAGAGGGGCGGGGTGTCCCCGTGGGGAGGGTGGTGGCCTGGGAGGGTCCCAACGCCAGGACCCAGGCAGGCCGGCAGCCGGGCTCCGCGCCCTGGCCGGCCACTCGCCTTGGACCCCAGGTCTGTTGGCGGGGAGGCCCCATGCGCCCGCCCGCCCGGCCTCCCGCTCCGCACCCACCTCAGGCGCTGGTCCCGCGGCTCCCGCCCCTGCCCCCAGCCCGACTCCCGAGCCCCTGTCCAGGCGGCGACGGCAGAACAAGGGAGGGTTGGGCGCCACGACCCCGAGGGCAGAGCGGGTCGAGGGGCTGCGCGGGCGGCGGGCGGGCGCGCGCACAGCAGGGCCCGGTGCGCGCCGCCCGCGCCGGGCTCTCTCCCGGCTGCTAAGTCCGCGGTGCGGGCCCTCTGCACCCACCCGCCGCAGCCGCGCCCCGGCCCAAGCAGATTGGCCCCAGTTGCGTCCCGTCCCGCCCCCGGCTAAGTCTCATTGGATGCCGCGGAAGTGGCGGTTCACCGGGCCCTCTAGAGGCGGGGCTTCCAGCGCGGAGGGGCGGGAGGCGGAGCCAGGAACCTGCAGGACTTCCCTGGGTGCCGACAGCAGCCGCGGACCCCGATGGCCCGGTGAGACTTGCAGGCGGCGTGAGGGCCGCCGAGCTGACTTTGGGTCCCAAAAGCTTCCTGGCCCTGACCCTAGGCCTCCTCGGCTTCTTCGTCTACCATGCAGGGCTAACTGCCCTCACAGAGTTGTTTCGGGAAAACGATGAAAGGAGAAAACGGATGCAAGCTTTAAGCCACACAAAAGCTGGTTACCATGGACAGCGCTGGCTTGAGTCTGTCGGCCACGGAAACGTTGCTCGCCTGGGCCAGTTCTGATTTAGGACGAGTAAACACTTTTATTAGATTTGGTACTTTACAAGATTGAAGTTCCTAAACTCAAGATCTGGCATCGTTGCCTTCCCTGCTAACCTTCATTCCCGAATTAAATGCAGACCTCTTGACCTGCAGTCCAGCTGCTCTCCAGCCTCGCTGTGCCCTCCGAATCCTCTGCCTTCCTCACAGGCTTCCATATACACCATCCTACCGGCTGCGGACACCAACCAACTCTCCCAGTCCCATCCCAAATCCCACTTCTCCCAACCACCTCCCAAATTCCGTCAGTTATGCCTTCTACAGTGTTCTTATTTTGCACATTTCTTTTCTGGCTCTTAGACTACTCAACCGCCAAAGAACATTCATTGCTTTATTCCCTCTCCGCCTGACCACTTCAGTGGAAAAGCATGAGGACGGGCTGCACTCTGCTTCTCACACAATCCCCAGCCCACAGCACCCTGCTTACGTACTGAACATAAAAGCGCAGGGCTAGGCCTTCCAATAGGTAACGATGGCTTTCAAAATGTTCTAGGAAAAAACAGGATACTTCAGGGGGCCCATAACTGCTTGATTCAAATCTTTCCTTTAAAAACAACAAAGTTAGACTTCTAAAACACACACTGAAGACATACACGCTGCCATATGTCATTTCATATGAACACGCCAGCTGTCGATATGTTCACTTTGGCTTCAGGGAAACTCACTTTGTGCACATCAATGTGCCCTGGGAAAGCTGTCCCCTACACTCTTCATTCTTCTCCCCCAGTGAAGACAGACCCCAGCCCAGATTCCCCTGTTCCTCTGAGGAAAGAGACGCCCCCTCCCTGGCTCTGCTCTGGCATCCTGGGGACAGGGCCAGCCGGCTCCCACTTGGCCTGGCTACTTCCCTGCCTCTTCAGGCAGTTCAGGCCCTGGGGCACTTGCTCTGGCCTGGGGGCACTGCAGGCAACGAGGGCACACAGATCCTGCTCCTCCCCTGGAGATGTCATTAGTTTGCTTATTAATTCTTTTATAAACTTGTATATAAACTTCTGGTCTCATTTAAAATATCTGAGATTGCAAGGTCAACTGTTAGAAATCTGTCACCACTTTCCATCTATGTATCCAAGTCTAGCAGAATTTTCTGCAAACCAACTGAAACACAAAAATAGGATGCTAAATTTTTTTTTTTTTTTGAGACGGAGTTTCGCTGTTGTTGCCCAGACTGGAGTGCAATGGCACAATCTCGGCTCACCGCAACCTCCGCCTCCTGGGTTCAAGCAATTCTCCTGCCTCAGCCTCCCGAGTAGCTGGGACTACAGGCACGCACCATCATGCCTAGCTAATTTTTGCATTTTTAGTAGAGACGGGGTTTCACCATGTTGACCAGGATGGTCTCGATCTCTTGACCTCGTGATCCACCCGCCTCGGCCTCCCAAAGTGCTGGGATTATAGGCGTGAGCCACCGCGCCCGGCCGATGCTAAAATTTTTAACCCAAATTTTGTATTGATCAAAAACAGCTTCACTGTTCTTTATAACAAAAAACTGTTCTAAATTTGAATTTATGTAACAAATTAACAAAATAACCAATTTTATATTCGCTTTACATATTGGAGTTCGACAAAAGAAATTTAATTTTGGGGGAAAAAAGCTGTATTTCGAAATGTTTCTAAAAATCACCATAAATCTTAGGATGAAATGGAGCGAGGCAGGAGATGAACCATCCAGCAGAGGGCTCTGTGTAAAAACATTTATTTTTACTAATGTTTAGAATACAGGAATTAAAGAAAAAAAAAAGACACCTCAACTCCAAAGCGACAGTGAGTTAGGGCCTGCCCGCGGCCAAGGGGGAAGGCTACTCCAGGGTGTCCTGGCATGGACTGTCCTCCCACTACTTAATGTCAGTGCCACTAAGCAGAAAACTTGAGGAATTAGGGTGTAAAGACCTTACCAGCTGCTAGCGAGCGTGCAAGGGAAGAAAGGGATGTCTATGTGGCTTCCCCATGAGCTGAGAGCCAGGATACACGGGGCAGGTGGCAGAGGCTCCCAATTCAGTTAAGGGCAGGAGGCTGAATGCCCAGGTCCAGGAAGAACAAAAAGGGGATTTTGGAGGTAGGCTTTTTTGTCTTGTTAAAAAACAGGCACATTATCTATCTCCCTGTGGCCCCCGAGCTGCTGGCCTGGCCCCCTGATCCTTCCCCTCTCCCCACAAAACCAAAAGGAATAAGAAGGGAGGCAGAAGATGAGAAATTCTAAGGGTGGGCAATGCTTCGGTCACTGGAGACCACCCATGACAGTGAGCCAGTACAGCACTGGGAAGAACAAGGTGAAGCTGCTACTCCCCCTAGGATGGGGTGGAGTGGGACAGGGCAGAGCCAGGAGGGTGACCGAGAACATCCTGACTTCAGCAAAGAACCCTACGTAGCAGGAAGACAGGGTTGCAGAGAGCCACTCTGGAGGAAAGAGGTGAGGCTAAGCGGCACAGGGGCATGGAAAACTCCTTGTGGACGTGGCCTCAGCCTGTTCTCTCCCAGCTGCCTCAGACAGAGGCCCTGGCCTGGCTTGCCTCTCGGGGAAGGGAAAACTCTGGACACCAGAGTGGAGGCAGAACAGAGAGAGAAGTGAGCTGCTCTCCCACTTTCTAGGAGGACACTGTTTGAACCCTGTGATCACCAGGGCCTGGGCCCAAGGCAAGCAGAGTGAATGCACTTCACGGAGAGCAGAAACTAGGCCCACAGGTACGCCTTGGGGCAGCATGTTGCTCCTTTCTCCCTGAGGGCCTGGGGCCAGAAGTGGTCAGAGCTGCCACCTCAGCTTGCAGCTGCCAAAGGCAGGCTGGCACAACCACCCCAAGGTTCTCTGGACTTGTGAAGGAGAGAAGGAAGAAGGGACAAGTGGGTATGAAAAATGAAGTGGAGGAGAGAAACAGCCTTAGATATGTCGGGGAGCAGGGGGTGGCCACATCAAGAGGAGTTCTGGTTCTGGTAGATGGAAGCTTTCTCCTTCAACAGGTCCAGACACAGGTGGCAGCTCCAACTTCCTGCAGAGAAGCAAAATGGGGTCAGGATGGGTCCCACACAATCCCCACCTGCTTGTAATTTCTCCGCTCTCGATACCCCATTTCTATAGCAGGATCAAACCACTATGCTTAGCCTAAAAAAATCCCTTAAAAATGCAAAAACTGGCTGGGTGCTGTGGCTCACACCTGTAATCCCAGCATTTTGGGAGGCTGAGGCGGATGGATCATTTGAGCCCAGGAGTTTGAGACCAGCCTGGGCACTGTGGCAAAACCTGTCCCTACTCAAAATTCAAAAATTAGCCAGGTGTGGTGGCATGCCTGTAGTTCCAGGTACTCAGGAGGCTGAGGTGGAAGGATTACTGGATTACCTGAGCCCAGGGGAGTGGAGGCTGCAGTGAACTGAGATCATGCCACTCCACTCCAACCTGGGCAACAGAGCAAGACCCTGTCTCAAAAACAAAAAGAAAAAAAGGAAAAACCATTCTTAGTTTGCAAGCTATTTAAGCTGGCTGTGGCTGGCTGACCCTGACCTAGAACATGTAATACTTCCAGGGGTTGCCCCTCAGCTGCCTTAACACTCCAGTGAGCACACTCAGGCCTGCAGCTCTCCACCACCTTAATGTCCCCCAGAACTTTAATAGGAAAGTCATTCTGTAATATACATCATCTGTTTGATGGTTAAAAAAACCAAAACACGCAGGCTGGGCGCGGTGGCTCAAGCCTGTAATCCCAGCACTGTGGGAGGCCGAGGCGGGTGGATCACGAGGTCAAGAGATCGAGACCATCCTGGTCAACATGGTGAAACCCCGTCTCTACTAAAACTACAAAAAATTAGCTGGGCATGGTGGCGCATGCCTGTAATCCCAGCTATTCAGGAGGCTGAGGCAGGAGAATTGCCTGAACCCGGGAGGCGGAGGTTGCGGTGAGCCGAGATCGTGCCATTGCACTCCAGCCTGGATAACAAGAGCGAAACTCTGTCTCAAAAAAAAAAAAAAAACGAAAACACAACAAAACATAAACATGCTATCTCTCCCGAAAGCAGATTCGTAAGCTGGGCCTGATAGAAGCTGAGTGCTCCCCTGCAGCTGCTAAGGGATTCTCAGACTTTGTCAGTGGCCTCATTCTCCAGAGGGGTGACAGAAGTTTGACCAATATGTTACAAGTCAGCTTACATCATACAATGAAACACTTTCTCTTGCCTGTAATTCTGGCCCATATCATTCATGCAGAGTAACAGCTCCTGGCTATTTGTGTTCTGAGTAAGCTCCTGAATTTCTGTACAGGAGTTGCTTATGCACAGAAATTCAGCTGGAAGGGGACTTGTGGAGATACAACCAATTCTTGGTGCCACCACTGGTTTCAGGGAATAGCTTCCATAAACTTGGACCATTATGAATGAAATAAGTTATGGGAGAAGCAGCCTGACCCATTCAGGCTCCAAGATCAAGTCCCTTCCCAATCCAGAAGGGGAAGGGAGAGGAAATAAACACTCAAATCTGTCAAGTTTCAAGAGTTGATTATA